TTTTTTGCTTCTACGATTCACGATACATTCGCAATCGTGTATGCCACTAATGTCAAATGGGACTATTTTGTACGGGTAACTACACCACCACCGCATTTTTTATTAATTTTTTTTTCACACAACTGAATTTTGATCTTTTAAATTGAAATACCTGATTAAAGGGTGGCCGAAATTTTTCTCCGCCCCGGGCGGCTAACACCCACGGTACGCCACTGCGCATCTGAACTCGTCTATCAAAAAATTGGCGCATGGTATGCAAAAGGTTGGCCACCCCTGCCCTAGACCATCACTGACGCGCAATTGACTGATTGCCCCTGGATGTCGTCTTCTTACAGAAACACAGCTTCCCTATCATTAAATGTCACGGCACGCCCCTGCATTGTACAAAGTAAAGTTTATGTGTATACGTAGTATACACATAAACTTTACTTTCATTACTGCAATGTCAGATAATTAAGCTGTAAGGCAACGACTTATTTGAATTAATAAATCTAAATACTCGAAGTAATGTAAGAAAGTTACATTATGACTTTGTGTATTTATTAAATAAACGAAATTACATATATTAAAAGAATGTGTATGGAAACATTCTGAGTAGCTGATTTTTGTTACTAACGTAATGCATACTTATTATAAACCTTCGTTTATTAATTAATATTAATTATATAAAATTTATCTTAGCATAGGACAAATAGTTTAGTAAAAATAGGAATTTCCAGAAAATGTCTGTATGTTATTTTGATCATTTAGATCGGGTGTGTCGAATTAAACTTAACATGGAAATCGAATGGAGCAATTAATCCGTAATCGTTGATGGGTGGTTTCTCTCTATTTAGCTGCTAGTGACCCTTTGATACAATAAGACAAGACAACACACGGGCGATCTGCCAAGAGTGATGACTCTTGTGAGAAACTGGTCTCCATTCAGGTGTTAGAAGCATGACCATATCGAATAAAATTTCACATGGTCAGCTTGTTTATTAAGCGCGAAACCATGAGCACTTATCGGTGTTCAGTGCTTTTGTTCACTCGAAGACTTCAGAATAGATGCCTAAATATTAATACAGTAGAGCGTCGTTTATCCGAAAGTCGGTTATCCGAAAGAATTCCAGTCGGAAAATTTAAATTTTCGCTAGTGCTGTGGCGCTGCAATCTTTGGCTATATCTTGGGCTACTCCAATATTTTTTATATTTGTGTATGTGTTTAGCTCGCAGCATTGTCACTTTTGTGTGGTGTTTTTCTGAGGACTGTGTGTCATGCTGAATAGAACGTTTTTGATACTAGATAACTTCTAAAGTATAATTTTTTTTGTTTTTATATTTTTCAATATATTTATTTTGTTTGTAAAAAATGAAGAAATAATTTTTAACGATACAATAGCCACGATTATTATTTTAAAAAGTTTACATTAGGCTTACCATCGACGAAAATTCAACGCGAAGCGACACGCAACGGAGAAAAATTTCAACGTGGGATAGGTTAATATATTTTTTCGTACATAATCGGTTATCCGAACAACCCCAGTCCCCAATTGATTCGGATAAACGACGTTCTACTGTAATTTTGTTCTCATTACAACTGACTTTTCCTTCTGTCGTTGATTGTTGAATATACAATTCATTGTTTAATTATTAATATATATATATAATAACAACAATAATAGTAAGCGCAGAGCGCAGTTGAAATTTGGTACACAGTTAGAATACGTCAAAAACGGACACTAAGAAGGGATTTTTCAAAATTACTCCCTACGGGGAGAGAGACAGGATTAAGGCTTAATTCTTCCATCAATAATGGAAGTGTTACTTAACAATGGAAGTGTCAACAATGGAATTGTTAAGAGAAAGCGACGTGAAAGACGCAAATGCAGTCTTTTATTTTCTTTTTGCGAGAAATAGAACATAATTTTAGACCCATCTAAAAATTCTCTAATTAGTGGTGGAAACAGGGGGACCCAATTTTTGCATTTTGTGAAAACGAGTAAGGTTAACGTAATAATCTTAAGCTTCTTTATCGTTACGTTTGCCCGAGCAACACCGGGTCTACCTGCTAGTTGAATATAATTGTTTAATACAATTGCTTGCCTACACATGATTGCCAACAACGCAATCATAGCAGCTTATTCTTGACGAGTATCCATATTGTTTATATTTCAAAGTCTCGTCCGTTGCTTCCGGAACAACTGCCAATTGTATATCGACTGATGGCGATTTAGCGCATGGACAGTTCCTTAATTTTCCTTATCCCTACAGTAAAAGTTCGATCTATCTAAACTTTTATTAAGGATTACGATTCAGAATTTATAACAACGCTATATGGTTTCGGCTACAATCACGGAGTTTATAACTCCACCCTTACGCTCAACTTCTTCCTCTCATCCCATCGGAAATTTTCAGCTGTTATGTAATTGTTTCAAGTATGTTTTTAGCTTCTGAAGCGACTCATCGACAATACGTTTCAGTCATAGTTCCCTCAGTGGAGATTTCACAACTCGATGTGACCTATCTATCCAACTAACTGTGGTATATATTTTTGATATAATTGAGGTACGGATATAGATATTTGTTTAATAAATGCATCTGCAAGAAGTTTTTCTTCAGGTTGACATTCTGTTTCTTTAATTTTGTCACATACAACAGATACTCTAATAAGTTATTTACCAGCGTAAACAGTTCTCTGATATCTTGAAATTAATTGACTTAATAATTGATATTACCTTCATTGGGAAAAATTAGTAGTCTTGAGTAATTCTTCGAAATTAGAACCACTTTTTATTTCGGGCTTCTCATAACTCATTAATAATTTGGGAGGAACTAAAGCCATATGCTTTTCCATTAGATTTGTTTTATTATTATTTTACCAATCAAATCACTTACCATAGACAATAACGGGCTTAACAGAAGTGGAAAAATCGCACAACCCGATTGATTTACTAAAATCTTTTTTTAGTATTTAAAGGAATATGTTTCCTCTTAACAAATTATCAGAAAAACACGAATCTCTCACAAAAAGTTTCTTATCCGTTTTAGGATTAAATTCCAATATCAAATAAACTCCTTCTCCATTTAGATTGAAGAAGAAACATAGCATATAATTCAAATACATTTGGACTATGATGAATAATATAAACTTTGCTCACGACCGTATTTTACGTTTTAAGAATGTCAGTTATATTAAATAATATTCTGATTTTGGTAAAATAAAATCAAATTAATGAAGGAATTTTATTTCTTTTTTTAAGTGCTAACACATTACAGTAAAATAATAATTACATCAAGTAGGTTACAAAGTCTTCCAGTTTTATGTTCAATATTTTTAAATATTCTTTTCTTCAGTCAAATATTTTTCATTTTCTATAAAAAGTTCTTCGTTGTTTCTTAATCGCTGATTGAATTCAGAAGCATCAAACGTAGGTAATTTGCCACCAAATTCTTCAGGAAGATATTTTGGATCGATTTCTTTGTGAAGTTCTGTTAAATCTGAACCATACAAACGAATCTGAAAGTCAAACAACAGTTATTTGCTTTTTATTCTATTAAACCATATTTGATTTAAGTTCTTTATTATAATTTGCATAATTATGACGTATTTTTTTTATCATAGAAACTTTTGTACATGTCACATGTTATCAACATTTCGAATAATTTCATTTTATTTGAAAATCAATGTACATTTTCTTGAAAAAACACAATTTTTTAAATAAAATTTACTTTTTCTAAAATCAAAATTGAAAATATATTGATTTATTTGGCAGGAAACTGAAACTAATGTTCTCCTAACAAACAATAGTCTACAAATATCTTAGTGAGTGAAACTACTGAACATGGGTCGTGAGTGCACACCTTCTCGCTGGGGTGTTCAAGTTGAGTTTTACGGGTTTTCCTCGCGTTTATAATTCTTAAATAGGCCAATTTTCCATTGAAAATCTATAGGGAAGGCATTTTTTTTCTGCAGATCGCCCACGCTCTGTCTTGGAGTGTACAATCCTAACAAGCTATAAAAGGAAACGACCAATTGTTAGCGCATATGAGTGTACTGGTAAGAAAAATTAAATTATTCGACTAGTATACATGTGATTAATTAAGTAGTAAGTCGATTACAAACTACGATTTGCAATATGTTCGCTCTCAGAAATAAACAAATTCTGTTGAGGATTATAAATTTAATAAATAATACGTTTTGTAATTGCAGCTGAAATTCCTTTCATTGTATTTCTAAGCTTTGATAGGATCTGCTGGCATTCGCTGGGTGCACATAAACTTTATTTGAAGTTGCACCTCCATATAACAAAGTCATAATGGGCGTAAATTCTGAACTATTCGATGCCATTTCCAGCTTTTTCTTATGCAGCTATGAATTTGAAATGAAAAATACTTTTTGAGGTAATCAAAGTATTTACATTAATGCATAGCACAGAATGCCCAAAATATGCTTTTATCATACTTTTATTTAATGAAGAGATAACAGCATGTTTTTATCAAACCGACTTCCGTATTATTCCGTATTTCCCTTAGTAAATACGTATGCACCATTTTTTAAATACCATTGATAATTTCATATTGTATTAAAAATTTCATAATATACTTACCCGCTTTTTTAGTTTTTGAGGTAGAAATGGATAAAACATTGCATAAAGTAGTCTCACATATGTGTTGCAGTTGGCAAAAACAACGGCCTTATAGCGAATCGGAATTGATTGCTAAAAGTAAATTAAAGTTTTCAAAATATTCATAATTTATTAACATTACAATCAAATACAATTAAATGCGTTGTCATCGTTGCAAAATTAACAATATTTATTATTTTCAAACACTGTTTATTTGAATGACAAATGTATTCGATTTAGAGAAATTATTTCGTCTGTGTCAGGTAACATGGGGTCGTTCAGATCCCAGAGACTGTTCTATGTGCAATAACGTGGAAATAGTTATGTTTAGTTAGTTATGATAAATGGTTTCAATCGGTTTATTAAAGAGTATTGTCAGATACACATCAATAGTGGAAATTTATATGTCTATACAGTTTTTAGATTGCAGCCGAATGGCAAACATAAACATCAATCATTATCTCAAATTTCGTAAGGACAACTGGGCATAGCTTGCATTGCAAGACCTAAAATATTACAAATAAAGTAATCGCCAGAAACACCAGTCGGCAGTGGCGGTCTTAATCGTAAAATCGATCAGTCGTACGTCCATTGTTACTCGTATACATATTTTACGTGCAAGAAACAAATATTTATTTTGTTCTTCTTTAAGAAAATACCCCAAAATTTTATAAATTTAACAAAATTTGCTTATTATTTATGAATTGTCAGCATGTTTATAACATATTTACTATATATGTAAATAATAAAATTCATACTTACTAGCAGGCAAGAAAGAAATAATTGTATCATTGATGGAGTAAACTGCAACAAGTGTTTCCAAGATATAGTATTAAAATCGATTAATACAGTGTATCCATTTACTTGGATTGGATGATCATTTAGTTCTAAATCATTCGAAAGCATTATGCCTCTTATTAAATCAATTAGTCTTAATTTCGTTGGATCACAACGGCCTGAAGAAAAATGCGTTTATAAACAAAATTATTGTAAATCATTTTACAAATATAACAGAAGTAATTGACTTACTAATTAATCCAAAACCCAAAACCTTGTCATTGTCGAACCTTGTAGTTGCGATCATATTCAACTGCAGAAATTCTTCTAGCGCTGATGGTCTTAGATTCTTGAAAACATTTAGATATTTCTTCCTGGTCGAGTAATAATTCTTCAACAATTTTAATGCCCTTTCTCTGTCGAATTTTCTTGCTCGTAGAAAACTCAGAAGAAATATGTCGTCAGTTCTGCAGTTTAGGTCTTCNATAAGATAAAGCTGCATCTTTTCATTCCATATAATACGTCTTGTAAATACATAAATAAGTAAAGAAATTAAGTATTCAATGCTCCAAGTTTATAAACTTCATATTTAAATGTGTACGTATCATTTCTTTCAGTGTGAATATATTTAAAGAATATAAAATTCCAGTACATTATGTGATAATCGAAATATACTTTACTTTTTTCAGTTATACCTTTTACAGAAAAATAAGAATTTCTTACCCTTTGCTTGAATTTATAAGGAAGAAATGGATATGCCGTTGCAATAATGGGACGAAGATACTTGTTTACATTAACGATGTGAATCCCTTTATAAATAATCGGAGTACATTGCTGAAAAATCGAAGAGCATATAATCTTTATTAGATTTAAATTTGTAAAATATCTGAAAATGGTTTAACTGTATATAATCTATTTTTAATCCTGTTATTGTAATTAATTCAAGCATTAACGGCAATACTCACATAAAAGCATGCTATCATAAAGTATTCTTGGACTAAATTGTATAACATGTCTCCACGATAATGTTTTAACATCTATCAATCCATAAACACCGTTTACTTGTATAGGATGATCATTTAGTTCCATGTCCATATGAAGTAATACGCATCTAACTACATCTATTGGTTTCACTTTAGTTGCATCCCAATGGCCTGTGAATAAATAGGTTTGGTGTTGTGCAACACAGTTTAGTAATAAAAAAACAAGAAACTGTAAAAAATGAACACTTACTGATTCTACCGAGTCCTATAACTTGACCTGTTTCTAATCGTTTGGTACACAAAATTCCCATTTGTAAAAATGTTTCCAACGCTGAAGGCCGAAGGTCTTTGAATACATGTGTATACTTCTTCCTTATTGCATAATAACTCTTGAGTAGTTTCAATGCTCGTTCTCTGTCGTATTTTCTTGCTCGTAGAAAACTCAGAAGAAATATGTCGTCAGTTCTGCAGTTTAGGTCTTCATCTTTTTTTTAGGTAAAATAAAATAAAATTATAATATTATAATTAATAATATTAAGACAAGAAATTAATATACAATATACATATAAAAATTTATAAAAATATACTGTGGGAATATGGAGTTGATAAATCTCGTTTCCCACTCTTGTTTGGATATAAATACGGAAGATCTGCCTGCAGGTTCTCCAGGATTGGTTTTTAGTATTGTGAAATTTGGGTACAGGAAGTTCGTATGATCTTCCTGTGGATTTTTTCTGACTCCAGCCTAATTAGAGTGTTAGGTACGCTAATGAATAAATTTATATACTTTTCTGTCAGGGAGGTATCGTAGATCCGTGATAAGACTTTGGCGAAGAGTTGAGTTTAATAACAAGACCATTTATAGAAACAAAACAAAATTTAATGAGGATCAAATAAAATATAACTATAGGTACACAAAGAGATTCTAAATCCTATCTGATCGCGTGAAAGAGAGAGTTTACATCAAATATAAAGAAACTATCTCGACTGTAGATCTTAATTGATGTCTTCTTATTCGGGAAAGACAGCGAAGTTCTGAAGAAAGCAGTATTTCTTCGTTCTGTCCATCAAAAGATGGAGGAAATCTTAGAATTTCTTCCTAAGGAAAGGCCTCCGATCCCGTATAGGGTCATTTTTGAGATCAATGTATCAACATTGATCTCGAAAATGACCCTATTAAACATAAAAAATACTTAAAACTGAAAAAAACGATAGAAATGCGTTAATTTTGAAAAAAAAAGCTTAAAACTTTATTTTGCATTGTCTCGCCTTTCTGCGAAATTTGACACTGATGAGTCATTGTTTCCATCTGGATGGCCTTGAGAACATCTAGTGTTGGATTTCCCGGGACATTCTCATANATTAATAATATTAAGACAAGAAATTAAGTTTAATATACAATATACATACATAAATTTATAAAAATATACTGTAAGAATCTGGAGTTGATAATTCTTGTTTCCCACTTTTGTTCGGATTTAGATCGGGAAGATCTGCCCGCAGGTTCTCCAGGATGGGTTTTTAGTATTGTAAAATTTGGGTACAGGAAGTTCATATGATCTTCCTGTGGATTTTTTCTGACTCCAGCTTAATTAGAGTGTTAGGTACGCTAATGAATAAATTTATATACTTTTCTGTGAGGGAGGTATCGTAGATCAGTGATAAGACTTTGGCGAAGAGTTGAGTTTAATAACGAGACCATTTAAAGAAACAAAACAAAATTTAATGAGGGTAAAATAAAAAATAACTATAGGTACACAAGGAGATTCTAAATCTCTATCTGATCGCGTAAAAGAGAGTTTACATCAAATATAAAGAAACTACCTCGACTCTAGATCTTAATTGATGTTTTCTTATTCGGGAAAGGCGGCGAAGTTCTGAAGAAAGCGGCATTTCTTTGTTTTCTCCATCAAAAGATGAAGGAAATCTTAGAATCCCTAAGGAAAGGTCTCCGATCACGATTAGGGTCATATTCGAGATCGATATATTAAACTCAACATGATTAAGTGTATAATTTCCGTTTCGATTCTCACAATACTATCTTGGAAATGCGTTTTAAAAAGATCGAGAGATATGATTATTCAGGGGGTGTAACGAAAGTCCGAATCAATATTTCACAAATGCCATGAGCAAAAGCTTGCTTATAGACAAACATCATTCTCATTTATATATAGACAAATAAAATTATATACTTACTAAGTACGTCGTTTCTAAATTCCTGTAATATTTTTTCATCCCAACTGTAATAAATGCCTTGGTGGAGTTTACCTTCAACACACGCACTCATGATGTTCATACAGTTTTATTATGCTAACACGTGCTAATTCATATCTTCTGCAAATGAATTTAAAATCTTATATTGCACAAAATCCATAAAACTAAAAAATCAACTGCATTAAAGTAACTAAAAACAACTTTTCACATAATATAAAGAAACTTTTTTAGTTAGGTTCAGGGCATCATACAATCGAACGAGAGGTAATTAAAAGCTAGATATTTTTTGCGTCATACCTCGTCATAATTAAAAATAGAAAGCGATTAGTCGAAAAGGTTTTAAACCTTGAACTTTTTCACTAGTATTTTAGGAAAATGATATTGTTATTTGCGTAAGTTTTTATCTTTTGCCTTGATAAATCGACAAGTAGGCTAATTCTGGCTTCGTAAAAATATCAGATTTGATCAGTTGCTTGACGCATCTATTACAGAAGCCGAGGTACACAAAACAAGAATACTAGAGAGCAAAAAAGTACTGTAACGCATCTCGAAACGAACTAGAAATCTTCCAGGCTACAGGTGAGAAAACACATAACATCTGCCTTTTTTTAAATGCATTAAAGACGATTCCACTTACATGAATTGAATCGAAAAGGGCATTCTTGGTAGCAGGACTTGGTAGCAGGGCATTACTAAAATAAAAACGAAATTAAGTGATCGGAGTATAAACCATCTTTGCTTTTTAAAATCTCATTATAAAAATGACCGGGAAATGAGAAACTTAAGTGCTTCCCACTTACACTAAAATATAAAAAAAGAACTCGAATTTTTTGCATTGCTCCTCGTTTCAAGGCGTCCTACGTTCAAAACTGAAGAAATCTTAAAGGATTATTTTTCATTTATCGACCCTCTGTTATATATAACAGCCAGGGTACTAATAGCTTAAATTTTTATTAATTTTTGGAAGTATCAATTGCTTGTTACTCGTTCAATACGGCGGTGATTACGGTAATATCTTGCTAATTTTTTTATAATTTCCTCCCAAATCCGTAAAATTTGTAAACTTTTTCATTTGCAAGTAAGAGATATATTATGAAAATCAGAGTGCATGACAGAGAATAAATTTACAAAATATTTACGCTCAATTATAAACTCTTTAGCTGGAAATCGAAATTCTCATCTATAAACTTCACTCCGATAAATACAGTAATCTGACATATATCGGATCGGGTGTATATATGTGCTGTACTTAACATATATACGCCCGATATAACACACTGAAGAGCGAAAGACAGAAAGATTTCCAGTACCGATACCAATACCGATATCGGTATCGATACTTTAAAATTATTCGTGATATTGGTATCCATACTTTTGTATGTCAAAACATCCTTACAAACAATTGGTACTTTGAAATTATCATGTAATTTATTACATGATAATTTATTACATGATACTATCCCAACTGCATTATTAATAGTTATTTAATTAATACACTCTATATACAAGAAATACGCTTATAAAAATTATAGAGAGTGTTGAGAAACGTCCGAGTTGTTACGTCAGAAATGGAGCAAGTAGTAATAAGAAAATTAATAAATTAAAAATACTCACTTACAACAGCCATCCGAAATTCTTCTAACTCTTTCTCGTTCCAAGTATATTCTTTCTTTAGTTCCATTCCTATATTTGCTTTCTTAACATGAAAATTTTGTTACTAATCTTGTATACTTTTTCCAGATTGCGCAAAATAATTCAATTACCAATGAATTTCCAAAATATTTCTTGGTTAAAGCATTCTATATAATCCGATGTTTAGAAGAATCAACTCGCTTCACCAATTAACTGAATATACTGTAATGTAGGCGCAGTAAGTTTCTAATCTCATCTATCAATAGTTATTTAAATCTTAGACTTTGCACCGATAAAAAAAAACTTTATGATTTCTACATACATATACAATAGAAATTTTGTCTGTCAGACCCTGCCAATAAGACAGACTATTACGAACTTTTGTTCTACCCTGCAATGATTTTATCCTCACTTATTAATTCCTACACCCTTTCTCCCATCTATACCAAGTTTTTTAATTATTCATCTGTTCTAATGTGATACTTATCGTTGAGTGATGATAAATTGTATAAAAATCACGTGGTTTTAGGAAAAGGTCAAAATACAACAATTTTTTTCCATTTGTATCATCATTTGTTTTGCATTTAGTTTTTTTTACATCTTTCGTTTGTACTTTTGTTTCTTATTTTTCCAAATTTAGCAATAAAAGTTGCAAATATTTATCTCTTAAATTTGTAATTTTTTAAGTATTCGTATAATATAATACAATATCAAACTATTACACATAAAAATGTTTTATTCTTTATTTAAGCAGTTAATTTGTATACTTTCTCTACATATTCTTTTGATCTCAGTATGTTTCATTTCTTTAAACTTTACACTTCCACTAATAAATTTAAAATTTAATTATGACATGCTATTAAATTAATATTAAATAGTGGATTTAACAAGCCGAATGTCTATTCTGTTATTTGTAGCTTTATTATACAGAGTAATCGAAAAACAGGCGCATATTTGTTAGGAATCAATTTTATTTTGTGATTTTAATGTAAGAAAATAAAATGTTAATGAAAACAAACTCTATAATGATAGCCAAAAGACAGGAGGGTTAAGGCATCAATTTACCGAATTGCGGAACACAATGTAGAATCTATGCTTATTTCAGCTTGCAATTCACCAGGAATTTTTCACGAGTGATCTGACTCGCATGTATCAAGCCTTACCTTTCCCCATCCGGCAGTTCCGTTAAATTAATCTTAAATAATAAAAATAATAATAAGTGCCAGTAATCTTTTCGTGCACAGTCGTTATACCACTTATCCTATATTAACGAAAATTCTTGAAACACTGAGGTTGCAAACGGCACACATATCACACTACAGAAGACTGCGATACTTAACGCATGTGCCATAGGAAATTCTTGAACAGTGATACATAAAAACTGTTAGTATCTTATCGTGAATTCAACAGACTTTATAAACTCACAGTATCTTATATTCCGTATCGAGTTTAATGAAATTATAACGCGGTCATCATACTCTTAACCTTCATATTTATATCTTAGATTTCGATCTAGAAAAAAGAACGTAATAATTAAGCTTAATGACTGTACATTAGTAATTCAGATAATTCTCACTGTCGTTCGTCTGTCCGCATGTCTGTCCATCTTAAAAACGGAGTTAGATGAAATCTGAAACTATATATGGAGCGCAAAGGTGCAGAAAGCCCCAATTAATTTTACGTGACTTACGGTTTACATCAAAAGTTAATATAATTTCAATTCAAAATTGTTCTCATGATTTATTTAAAATATTTTAAACATAAAAATTCGAAACAGAATGTTCTACTTTTGAACGATGTTTTAAATTTAGTTCATTAAAAATCTGAAGATGTCTTAGGGAAATAAATTGAAAACGTTTGCTAAATTAAAAATTCTTTCTCAGCAAACCTCAGGTCAGAAATTTCCAAATCACTCATTTTCTACAACTCTAATAGAGAGTTGTAGAAAATGAGTGATTTGGAAATTTCTTACTTTTAGAGAGTGTTTTTGCAATAATTGTAACATTTGCTGCAAAATTTTCCTTGCTGACATCTAAAGAGAAGGGTGAAGTTTGCTATTGTTTATCAGCAGATGTAGTTATTTTATGAGGTTATTAAACTTATTGATAAGGATATACAAGGGCCATGAAAACAAAACATTTGGACACGACTGAACACATCAAACTCTAAAGGACATTCCGGAGAAGGCCTTCCAAAATTCCTTCCAGACTTGGAAACACCGCCCTCACAAATGTATCGATGCAGGAGGGTGCTATTTCAAAAATTTTTAACTAGTTGTAAGAATATTTTCAATAAATGATTTTTTATGAATTTTGTCGCGTTACTTATGGAACGTACTGTACCTTGTAGACAAAACAATTCCCTTTTACTTAAACACAGTATATATTTGCCCTTAAAAATTATTTATCTTTAAATATAAATTAATATAATACAATATATACGTAAAGCCAGAGTAATTAATTTATACTACATTTCTGTTTATAAAGTAAATAAGTATAATTTTCTTCACGTCATTACAGTTAACTCGGCATTGATGAGGAAAGTTCTCTCAAAGCCTCAGATGATTTCATTGTTAGATTATTAGCTGACGTAATGTTCCGACTACCTTTTTTTAGTCTTTCGCCTATCCTTAAAATGTGAAAATTAAATTATTTGGCTGCAATTTGAAAAAAAAATTTCAAATATATAATTTCCCATTGCTTTCTGTAACGTCTGGCTGTCATTCCTTAATTTCGTCAAAGGAGTTATATAGATGAAATACAAGACAACGTATGGAAAACAAAGGGCAGAAGACCCGATTAATTTTATATGAATTTTTGATGAAAACCAGGAGACAAGTTGATTGAATTCAAAACGTTTCTGCTGATAGGAGTAAGATGACTGGAGTGACTCTATTGTTAAAGAAAATGTATGATGTACTGTACAGGGATCAGGCACTACTAATTTGAGGTGGAGAGCATGCATTTTAAATTGAATAAATTAAAAAGATGATTTAAAAAGTACAGTCAGGTATTCTGACAATGCCACAATAAATAATCAACAAATTTCGTATTTCGAATAGCCAGGACTTAATAAAGATTTTACTCGTTATTAACATTTACTCATTTTACATATTTGTTAACATAACAGCATATTGTATTTTAAAACAAAGATATGTCTATAAAAATGCAGCTTACAACTGTTTGGGAGGTTTTAAATTTTGTTCATAAATATAACATACATTCTTTTAAAAATTGTATTTCTTCTAGATCATTTAGGAATAGAAATAATGCGCGACACAATTTTAAATGATAAATAAAAGATAAATTCTACAATATCTTTTGAATGAATTCTTGAAACATGTAAAATAACAATGCCAATCATTTACAATCACTCTAAAATAGGGGTTCCCAAAGTTGTCGATATCGACCCCTTGGGGTCGATAAGAGTTCTCCAGGGGTCGATTAATACACGAGGGTCGAAAGGGGGTCGATTAATACCAAACAGGATCAATTAAACTGTCTAGGAAAAAAATAGAATATTCCAATAAAAATTAGAAATACGGATATGCTCAATAACATTACTGACTACCCTAGTTATAACTTGAGTTTTGCCTTAGCCTACGCCGCTTTAAGCATGTGTTACTCTGTTTTCACTTATCTGGCCACTGTACTAGTGTTGCAAACATGTTATGAACTCTAATAGTTTATTATACACAGACATACGTTGCACTGTTACACTCTAGAAGGGTTGACACTCTAAGTATTTTATATTTAAATGTAGATATTTTATCCTTTACAGAGAAAATATCGTAATATATCGAAAATCATTAATATAGTACAGAAGCGTTTGCAAGAAAAACGTTACAATTGTTCAAGCTCGAAAAATCATTGTGGCCTTTCAAGTAAAAATGGAGCTATTTAAATCTTTACTGGCATGATCCGATTTTAAATATTTTTCAAACTTGCAAGTACTAAAAGAAAATGAAAATATTTCCGACCGTGATTTGGAGATATATATTAAACATTTTGATAAATTAAGAGAAGACTTTAAAGCACGTTCTGAAGACTTCGAGAATATGCATGTTCCCGAATGGTTTGCTAATCCATTTGGTGTAAAAATAGATAATTAAGGTAGTGAACCTGGGTTAAAAGATGAACTGAGTGAAATATGTGTAGATTTTGAAGCTAAAGCATTGTTTAAAAATAAAAACCTCAGTGAATTTTGGAGCAATAACAATATTGCCCTAAATATCCAAAGCTCAGAGCAGAAGCCGAACCTTTCTTACTTGCATTCCCAACTTCATACATAGTTGAAGCTGGTTTTAGCCACGCAAACGCAATTTTGACAAAACAGAGGAAGAGATTAAAATTCGAAAACTGTGGTGATTTGCGACTATAACTTACCAATTTTCAATTGAATATCAATAATCTTGCTGCTTCTCTATAGACTCATCCATCCCACTAATATCAACTATTTTAATAAAAAGGCATGTCAACATATTTTTAAGGAATTCAGTAGTAGTCGCAAAATGACAGTAAGAGGTTTTTTTCATCCAATATAACTTATGTTTTCAAAGATAAGTGTGTACAGCATTTTACATATTAGTTTAAGAACTATAGGCAAATTTCCATCTATCCATAATTTTGCTATTATTTTTTAAGATCACAAATCAGTGAAAAAGATCTCCTTTTTCTGTTAATGTTATTGGATGTATTTTATAAAATATGGGAACTATGTTCTTTTGTTGGATTGTTATGCAGGACTTTTTATCGCTTAACATTAGAAATGCAAAAATGATTTAATGTTTTTGTTAAATAATTCATCTGGGGGTCGATAAGAAGGCAAATATTCTATAAAGGGGTCGACAGGATAAAAAGTTTGGGGACCCCTACTATAAAAAGATAATACGATTTCCTGTAAAGTTTCTCACTATTAATTAATATATTTAAACAGTACGTATTAAAAACTAATTTAAATATTTTGTGTTAATTAATATAAATGTATTACCCAGCAACATCTTTAATTTTATATTATAATTTCAACATGACGCATTCAAGTCAATTATAATTCTAGGTGCGGTTCATTACAACAAACAAAATTTTCTCATTTTAATCTTCAGATATTTTCTCTTCGGTCCAATATTTTTCGTTTTCTACAAAAAATTCTTCCAAGTCTCTCAACTTCTGATTAGTTTCAGACTCATCAAAAGGTGGCAATTCACCACCAAATTCTGCAGGAAGGTATTTTGGATCGATCTCTTTGTGAAGGTTTTCCATGTTGGATCCATGTAAATGAATCTGAAATAAATACAGTTAAAATTATCCATATATATGATATCTCTGAAATTAATGAGATAATGTAACAATGTAATCTACACTACTACTGGCCATTAAACTCGCTATAAAATGAAACAAAGCAAATTGTACGAATACAGTATTCACGAGAAAAAGACATGATTAAATTCACATAACATCTTGAGATATAGAGCACCTGTATATTGTACGTGTATCTTTCATGCAAATTTCACGATTGTTGCGTGACGTTTTTATAATTTACCAATTTTAAATACCAGCAGTGCATATAAAAATATAACTGATGACACCTCGCAAGTACGCTAACACGACTTCTTAAAAGATCTATAGTTATCATTAGGTACTATTCTCATCTACACGTGTATTAAATTCTATTTAGAAAAATCTATTTTATAAGCTATCATACAACATAAAACCAAAATATATTTGGATCAACAATTGCAGACTCTCTAAGTTTTACTCCCCAGTGTAAATGTTTATCAGACATCATAAGGATGGCTGTGAGTGTACACAATAAAAGAAGTGTTATCTGTTTAAATTTAATTATCCACGTTCAGCTTTATCATGAACTGTAATTCTTCAATAGTGCATTTTCTGATAATAAAATTGTGATTTACTTTCTTATATGATTATGTTGTATAAGATAAAGCTGCATCTTTTCATTCCATATAATACGTCTTGTAAATACATAAATAAGTAAAGAAATTAAGTATTCAATGCTCCAAGTTTATAAACTTCATATTTAAATGTGTACGTATCATTTCTTTCAGTGTGAATATATTTAAAAAATATAAAATTTCAGTACATTATGTGATAATCGAAATATACTTTACTTTTTCAGTTATACCTTCTACAAAAAAAATAAGAATTACTTTCAAGAATTTCTTACCCTTTGCTTTAATTTATAAGGAAGAAATGGATATGCCATGGCAATAATGGCACAAAGGTACTTGTTAACATTAACGATGTGAACCCCTTTATAAATAATCGGAGCACATTGCTGAAAAATCAAAGAGCATATAATCATTATTAGCTTTTAAATTTTTAAAATATGTGAAAACTGTTTAACTGTATATAATCCATTTTTAATCCTGTTATTATAACTAATTCAAGCATTAACGGCAATACTCACATAAAAGCATGTTATAATCAAATAAAGTATTCTTGGACTAAATTGGATAGCATGTCTCCACGATAGTGTTCTAGCATCTATCAATGCATAAACACCATTTACTTGTATTGGATGGTCTTTTAGTTCCATGTCCATAAGAAGTAATACGCACCTAGTTACATCTATTGGTTTCACTTTAGTTGCATCCCAATGGCCTGTGAATAAATAAATTTGGTGTTGTGCATCACAGATTAGTAATAAAAATCAAGAAACAGTAAAAATGAACACTTACTGACTCTACCGAGTCCTATAACTTGACCTGTTTCTAATCGTTTAGAACATATCATACCCATTTGTAAAAATGATTCCAATGCTGAAGGCCGAAGGTCTTTGAATATATCCGTATACTTCTTCCTTATTGCGTAATAACTCTTGAGTAGTTTCAATGCCCGTTCTCTGTCGTATTTTCTTGCTCGTAGTAAACTTAGGAGAAATATGTCGTCAGTTTTGCATTTCAGATCTTTCTCTTCTTTCGAAATATAAAAAAAAATGTTAGTTTAAACGTGCTCAGCGGAAATAAAATATAAATTTACGATAACACCTATGCATTTGCTAAAAGAACATTTTAAAATTTTCAATTGGCGCAATATGCCTGAAAAGCAAACGTATCACGTCGACAACAAATGACTTTAAAGTGACTGCTTTTTTTTATAATTTTATTGATTCTAATATGCGTTTCGGATGTATACATTCACCCCTCTTCAGTTGGGTAGAATTTTGTATAATATTAAGTTAATAGCTAAAATTCCACATTTACACCTTTAATAAAATCAGGTAATATATAATATAAACTTCTGTTATTTGTGTTAATACCTAAACAGTGTTAAAATTTTTTAAATCATCCAAATGTTTTACGCTAATATTCAGTTCACTAACTGGCAGTAAGTATTTAATACAAATACAGTGGAACCCCGGGTAACGAACGTCCTGATTAACGACCAAATCGGTCAAAGAACTTTTATTTTGCAAAAATTTTGTCTCGGATAACGAACAAAATTCGGGTAACTAACGTAACGGTATTTTGTGTCAAATTTCAGTTGGTGTTAGGCATGCACGAGTTAAGCATTGCTTTTCTGAGTGTTTGTGTTATACAGTACTTCTTTCAGTTTTGTGATTTATATATTTAATCAATATGGCATCCAAGAAAGAAAAAAGTCATAGTGGAAGTAGAAAACGACAACGCCATATGAACGACAATGGGCTATCGCATTTGAGAAAAAATTTTAATTAAAAGAGTAAGACAATCAACTTTAGATCAATTTCTTGTTCCTTATGGAAATAGTTCGTTTGTTTTTTAAGTTATGGCAACGCAACACTTGGGTGATCTGCCTTCTGGGAGGTGTTTTTAAGGGAAACTGGCCCCTATTTAGGCGTTACAGACGTGGAGAAAACCCGGAAAACTCCACGTGGCCAGCCCGTCTGAGCTAGGTGCAAACCCACGAACGAACTCCTTGTGTTCAGGGTACGAAGACCGATTAGCCACTGGTGGGCTTTCTTACCGAAAGAGACTTCGAGTCGAAGAATCTTCCGATGAAGTGCTACCCGTTATTTTTTTAGACGGGATTCTCCTTCTAAGCATTAAGGTTCGTATATCTCCACTATTCTGCCATCAACAACTACAAACGAAGGTATGTACAATGCTATTTTACTAAACACAGTTTACATGTTTGTTGCTGTAATGATATTTACTACGTTTTCCTACATTTTCATCAAAGAAAATCAACTCTGTATTACAAATAAAATCAGAAAAATTTCGGAGACTAAAACGGATTAATTGCATATGCATTAATTTCTATGGGAAAAATTGCTTCGGTTAACGAACAATTCAGTTAACGAACGGATTAAGTTTGTTAACCGGGGTCCACTGTATAGATAAATAAAATACGTATGTGTAATAAAGTATATCTACATTAAATACTATTAAAAAGAGATTAAATAAAGACTAAATAGCACATTTAATAAATATTTGTTATTAAATAATGCTTAAAACGAGCTAGTAAACGAGCAGTTAACAATACGAAACTGAAAAGAATATAGCGCTGCCAATCAAAAACGGCCTGTCATGGCCACACTATATATAGGCCAATCTAGCCACTCTAGTATACTGTATACATATATTGTAATGTACTGTACATTAATTTCCCACTGTCGCATATAATGACAACTCGTAACACGAAAATTTCATGTGAAAAGTGTCAGATTATTAATCCTGTCGGACTGGCAAGTGATAGTCTATAGACACTCATATACAGACATTGGACACGCCAAAATTGGACGTTGGCACTATTATATTCATTTTATATTTCCATTGAATATTCTTTTTAGATGTTTTAAATATTATATATAGTTATTTAATTAATGTATATATATAAAACGTATACCCATAAGAATTATAATTTGTGATATATGTTTGGAAACGTCCTGTTGCTAAGTCAGCGATGGAACAGGAAGTAATAAATAAATATATTAGAAATACTCACTTAGAGCAGCCATTCGAAATTCTTCTAACTCTTTCTCGTTCCAATTGTATTCCTTCACTTCCATTCCCATATTTGCGTTTTTAACATCAAAATTTAATTGTTAGTCCTGTATATATTTACTGATTATGCAAATAATTCTCCTATTAAAGAGTTGTCTAATATATTTATTGGTTAAGGATTCTATATTAGACGATATAACGGAGAATAATCTCGCTTCACGAATTAACAACATATCCTATAATATAAGCGATGAATTTACATCAATGAGTTTTTAATCTCTCCTAGTTATTTAAATCTTAAACTTTGTACCGATCAACATCTAATCAATGAACTTTATGATTTCAATAAAAAACTGATAGTCAACACGATAGTAGCCGCAAATCAATATAGATATTTATTATCTACATATATATACAACGGAAATTTTGTCTGTTTGTTTTCTACAATCTTCTAAACTCTAATCTGCAGGGGAAATGTTCATGTATATGCTGTGGGACCCTGCTGACAAGATAGGCTATTACGAACTTCGGTTCCTACCTTCACTAATTTTTATCTTCACTTATTATTTCTTAAACCCTTTCACTTATATTTACAAACATTTTTATTGTTATTAATCTGTTTTGATGTGATCATAAATTGGATGCCTATCACGTGTTTACAGTGTTGAGTAAAACTGTTTTTCAGTGTGAGAATACTTCGTGTGTCGAATTTTTTACAAATAATCGGTAACATTTACAGTTAATTTACATTGTGTAGTCTTATATGAAAGGTTAATGTTTACCTGAATTAATATGTCTTTTTGTTTTTTCGTAGACAGAGTTTTATTAATTGAATTTTAAAAACAATATTTAATCATAACTATTAGCATCCTTCGTACACAATACGATAGTTACGTTCCGAAAAACTGGCGTGATATGCGAATCCGTGCTGTACGAAACAAATAACTAATGCAAAATATGTCAGAAGTTACGTTCCAGAACTTAACAAAAGTATACAATTATTTTTTTTTTTACTAAGAGAAATATGTTTATTAATGCAGTCGATAATTTATTTCTAATCAGTAATTATCTAACAAGCACAGTTAAAACTACTGTTAATGTTAATTTTACTCAAACCAAGGCGTTTTCTTTATACAAATTACCGTCCTCTTCTCAGCTTTATTGTTGAACTTGATTAGAGGTGTTATTTTCATATATTTCGTTATTATCAATGACAAAATAAAAATACATTATTAGTCTAAACTTTCATACTTTTCCAGGATGTGTTCGTATACCGAGTTGTTCGAGTAACAGGATACCGTTCGTTATTTTACGAGTGATTGCTTACTTACAATTAAAAAAGTTTAATAACACTTACCTAAACATGTTTAAATAAACTTTGCCAATTACGAAGATTAGTGTATACAAAAAAACACGGTGACAGTCATATTTGCTAATGTCTGAGAACAACGACGATGACACCTGATTGATAGGAAAGTTAAGGCAAGGAAGAAAATAAATTGCACGATTAGTTTTCATTAAGGATTACGCTGAATTCAATGGTGATTAATACGATAAACGTAGCTGTGAAAGAAGTGCATTTTTATTGCACAGTACGTACAATAAATACATACAAAATGAAATAATTCGAAAATCTGTTGAAATTCGAAATTACACAGTCCGATAAATATTGGTATACAAAGAATTCACTCTATTTATATAGGCTAAGCTATATTCGTGCATCTTAAATTATTAGAACAGTTAATATTAAACTATTATTATTGGGAAAAAATTTGAAAAAAAATAGTAGACCTATAAAGTTCTACTGTTGTTGGGTTGTCTGTCAGTATCTCTTTCTTCGATCTCTTGAAATTTGTTAGACAAACGAAGGCGAGAAAAGATATAAAAAGATAAGGAGCGGCAGGTCCAGGCTAACTATACAGGAACGTCTGCAACACATCGACAGTCACGTCATTTCAATTCGAAAATAATTTTCTTCTTAAAAAGAGTTAAATAGGTGACCGGCACCACTCTACTGTTGAAGAAAAATCATGGTGTACAATTATATTACGTCAAATATAAACATTTATAATTTCAATATTTAAATATTTTTTTCTTCAGTCCAATATTTTTCGTTTTATACAAAAAATTCTTCCAAGTCTCTCAACTTCTGATTAGTTTCAGACTCATCAAAAGGAGGCAATTCGCCACCAAATTCTGCAGGAAGGTATTTTGGATCGATCTCTTTGTGAAGGTTTTCCATGTTCGATCCATGAATATGAAGCTGGAATAAATACAGTTACAAATTATACATAAATATGATATCTTTGAAATTAATGTGACAATGTAATAATGTAATCTACACTGCTGGCCATTAAAACTGCTATAACAAGAAACAAAGCAAATTGTACGAATACAGTATTCATGAGAAAAAGACATGATTAAATTCACATAAAATCTTGAGATATGAGCACCTGTATATTGTACGTGTACTTTCATGCAAATTTCGCGTGTGTAGCGTTCCGTTTTTATAATTTAGCAGTTTTAAATGCCAGCAGTGCATATAAAAATATAACTGATGACACCTCACAAGTACGCTAACACGACTTCTTAAAATTTCTATAGTAATCATTAGGTACTATTCTCATCAAAACGATTGTAGAATTCTAATTTCAATTTATGTGTCTATCAGTCATTGTTTTAGTATTACATCGAAGCAACTGAAAATGATTCAATAAAATGTGCGCATATATTCAGAATGATTTGAAAATTACGGACAACTCATTTAGAAAAATCTATTTTATAAGCTTTCATACAACATAAAACCAAAATATATTTCGATCAACAATTATAGACTCCCCGGTGAAAATGTTCATCAGACATCATAAAGATGGCTGTGAACATACACAATAAAAGAAGTGTTGTCTGTTTTAATTTACCACATTCAGCTTTACCATGAACTGTAATTTTTCAATAGGGCATTTTCTAATAATAAAATTGAAATTTACTTTCTTATATGATTAAGTTATATAAGATAAAGCTGCATCTTTTCATTCAATATAATACGTCTTGTAAATACATAAATAATTGAAGGAATTGAGTATTTAATGCTCCAACTTTATAAATTTCATATTTAGTTGTGTACGTATCGTTTCCTTCAGTGTGAATATATTTAAAGAATATAAAATTCCAGTACATTATGTGATAATCGAAATATACGTTACTTTTTTCAGTTATGCCGTTTACAGAAAAATAAGAATTACTTTCAAGAATTTCTTACCCTTTGCTTTAATTTATAAGGAAGAAATGGATATGCCATGGCAATAATGGCACGAAGGTACTTGTTAACATTTACGATGTGAACCCCTTTATAAATAATCGGGGCACATTGCTGAAAAATCAAAGAGCATATAGTCATTATTAGCTTTTAAATTTTTAAAATTTGTGAAAAAGGTTTAACTGTATATAATCTATTTTTAATCCTGTATTATAACTAATTCAAGCATTAATGGCAATACTCACATAAAAGCATGCTATACCCAAGTAAATTATTCTTGGACTAAATTGGATAGCATGTCTCCACGATAATGTTTTAACATCTATCAATGCATAAATACCATTTACTTGTATGGGATGGTCATTTAGTTCCATGTCCATAAGAAGTAATACGCATCTAGTTACATCTATCGGTTTCACTTTAGTTGCATCCCAATGGCCTGTATATAAATAAGTTTGGTGTTACGCAACACAGTTTTGTAACAAAAATCAAGAAACATTAAAAGATGAACACTTACTGACTCTACCGAGTCCTATAACTTCACCTGTTTCTAATCGTTTAGAACATATCATACCCATTTGTAAAAATGGTTCCAACGCTGAAGGCCGAAGGTTTTTGAATACATGTGTATACTTCTTTCTTATTGCGTAATAATTCTTCAGTAGTTTCAATGCTCGTTCTCTGTCGTATTTTCTTGCTCGTAGAAAACTTAGGAGAAATATGTCGTCTGTTTTGCATTTCAGATCTTTCTCTTCTTTTGAAATAAAAAACAAAAAACATTGTTACAGTTTGGACGTGCTCAGCAGAAATAAAATACAAATTTACGATTACACCTATGCATTTATTTCAAGGACATTTTAAAATTTTAAGTTGGCGCCATATGCCTCAAAATCAAACGTATCACATTGACAGCAAATGATTTTAAAGTGACTGTTTTATCATTTTTATTTTATTGATTTTAATATGCGTTTCGCTTGTATACATTAACCCCTCTTCAGTAGGGTACAATGTTACATATTATTTAGTTAACAGGTAAAATTCCACATTCACACCTATAATAAAATCAGGTATAATATATATATATATATATACAGTAGAACCCCTATAACGCGAGTTCCTATAACGTAGATTCCTATAACGCGGAGAAAAAATTGCGACAATACTCGTATAAAGACGCTAAAAGGGACGCGTAAAACGCGGTAAAACGTCATAGCCAACTCTTCATCGCAGACAAGCAGCCGAACTACTTTTCGCCATCCAGCGCCACGCTACGGAAAGTTTAGGCGAATAAATTCAGTTTACTATCATCTGTACAGTATTATATATAAATTATATATGAATTAGATACTGTACATATAATTATATATTAATTATATAAAAATTAGCTACTGTATATATAATTATATATTAACTTAATTTATAGTAACTTTATTATTATTATATGTATCCTTTCCTCCGTATAGCGCCACGCTACGGAGAGTTTAGGCGAGTAAGTTGAGTTTACTATCGTCTGTACAGTATGTAAATTAGGTACCGTAAGTCTAATACAGCACAGTAATTTTATACATTTAATGTGAAAGAAACATTTCTTATTCAACGGTCATAAAAATTATTTCTATTAATGATGTCTGCAAAGTTCAACGAAGTTTTCGCAGAAAAATAACATCAGAAATTGCGGCCGCCGTTTGGTGCGCTGGTCCGCGACGAAAACAAGCTTAAGCAATTGCGACGTCGAACGGTGCACACTCGGTAAGTAATCCTACAATTTTTTGTTTATAGCATAGTTTATACGGATTATTCCCAAAAAATTATACGTGTTTTGGAAATGTTAAGTCGAATTAGTCTAGAATCGATTAATTTTATCGAAGAAAACCTTTCAAACAGCCGTAGTCCGTAAACTTCACACGTATCGGGCTGTGATTGTTTCACGTATTTAAGGATTCCTACAACGCGAAATTCCTATAACGAGGAACGTATCTCCGCGTTATAGGGGGTCTACTGTATATACATATTCATATTACCTGATTACAATATATAAAAGTTTACAATATATACGTATAATGTAAACTTTTGTTATTTTTATTAATACCTGAACAGTTTTACAGTTTTTAAAGCATCGAAATGTTTTTCACTAACATTCAGTTCATTAACTGGCAGTAAGCATTTGATACAAATATAGATACATAAAATATGTATATGTAATAAGGTATATTTATATTTAATATCGTTAAGAAGAGATTAAAGACTTATTGTTAACTAAGTTTAAGCATTTTTTACAAGTTCTAGTTTTATTTTTGAGGCTTTTATTTTAGGCTCTGTTATTCATAACAGAGAAAATATGACAATCGATCAAAAATGATTCCTTACGATTTTACATTTTTGAACTCAGGAATTCTTAAAACATCAAAAAATGTAAAAAAATATTCTTAAATTTTTTTTCATTTCTCGTTATTTCTATTCCTATCAAGTGAAGGTATGACTAATCTGGATGCAGAAACAGTCACTGATTACCCCGCTACAAATAGGCCTACTCATTCCGTTTTTACAGTAGAGCGTCGGTTATCCGAAAGAATTCCAGTCGGCAAATTTAAATTCTCGCTAATGCTGTGGCGCTGCAATCTTTGGCTATGTCTTGGGCTACTCCAATATTATTTTTTGTTGGTGTGTGTGTTTTAGCTGGCAGCACTGGCACTTTTGTGTGGTGTTTTTCTGAGGACTATTTGTCGTGCTGAATCGAACGTTTTTGATACTAGATCAACTTCTAAAGCAGGGGTGGTCAACCTTTTGCCTACCACACGCCAATTTTTTGACAGACAAGTTCAGATGCGCCATATAACTCGAACACTTTTTATACAGTCTCATGTTCAATGTTAGGAGTTGATAAATAGAGATAAAAGTAAATCTGCTTCGCTTAGAGGAGAAAAGGGAATAACTTAATCACGCAGTTGAATTAATTAATTTATGACAGTTTATTGAAGTACCAATTTACAATAGTCAATAATGATCTCCTGTACCAGAGGGTGGTTGCTTCATGATGGTGCTATAGCTGCCAGAGTCTCGTTTGGTGAAGATTACTCTGCACTACAATTATTGGCACTGAGAACGAGATCAGCTTGGAATAACTTTACTCACAACAAATGTTTTCAGCCATTTACACGCTTGTAAACTGATCGAAAATAAAGATCGCAAGACTCAAAATACGTGCATACGTTACCGCTAAAGCTCGAAATCCGTTAATGTGCGCATTACCTAGCTAATCTGCAGATTAACTAGGGTGATCCGTTAAAGCTGCGAAAATTATTCCATTTCTCAAATTACCTAGGTAATGTTCAGATTATCTAGGTAATCTGCAAATTACCTACTAGGCACTCGGTAAAGTGAAAATAAGATTTTTGCTGGAACAACAGCAACGTTTCTGTACGCTTAAATTAACATAATGTTATTTATTTAATTTTCAATATCTAAAGAATCAAGTTAATACAATCAACAAATTAGTTGATTGAATCAATCATCAATCAATTAAAAAAACTTTAATACAAAAATCAAACGGTTTAAAATATTACTACAATTAGGGAAATGAATTTGCAAAACATATGATAAAATTGTACTTACTTATTAGTGCAATCTAAAGATTGGTGACACTTTGAATTACGTAGCAATTGGTTTTTGCGACAAGCACGCCTATTTGTGGTACATTTAGATTTGCAGTCACATTTTCTGAAACCCTGCCCAGTACCAAGGGATTGTTTTATTGCTGTTTGACGTAAAGATATTTCTACAGCAGGGACATCCATCTTCTTTCGTTAAAAATCTCTCTTTGCAAACACTGAATTCAGATTTTGCATACAATTGTTTTAAAATACCTGTTTTAGTATCAAGTTTATAAAAGCCATCCTCTGTTTTACTAAGAACCACAGCTAAAATTGAACGTGCATCAGTTTTTGCTCTGTCTTCTTCGGGTACTTTAATTCTCACAGCGAAACCTTCATCGACGTTTGGGTGCTTTGCATTAGAAACTGCTAACATTTTCTTTGCTTGCTTTTCTAAACATTTCTTGGCTTCATCACGCTGTATTTTCTGATCCATATTCTTTTTACAGATGATGCACAATACATTCTTACCATACCCTTCCTCTTTAGGATCTACTTCACCACAAACTGCGTGAACAAACATATTACACGATTTACACTTGTGAGCACTTGATGCTGCTTTTGAGCAAACAATACAGACTATGTCTTGTATAGTGCTCTTTACAGGCTCCGTACGAAACTGTGATGGCGATTCTGCTGAAGTTGAGAGTAACTCAGTGATGACTTCTTCAACTTGCAGAGGCGATTCCTTGGAGGTGCAGGGTAACTGAATATTCTTCGTGACTGCATCATCAATCAACGGTATAGAAGGCAGTTTAAGATTACTATCGGTAAATTCTTGTATTTCTATAGGTGATTCTGTAGAAGCGGGGGATAACGGAATGTCCTCTTGAGTAAGATTTGACTGTGATCTCATAATCACAGTCTCTTGTGAATCTTCTAATTTTTCAAGGTCTTCTTCAGTTTTTATCGAATGTCAAACAATTCTCCGGCATGGACAAACTTTTTCAAACCTTTCTCGCGCATCTGACAACGGCTCAATGAGTTTTTCACAGCCTCGTACAGTCAACACATCACACCTTTGAATTATTCGATAATTTCGAGATGATTCTTTCTTCTTAGAAACTTTTATTTGCTTTACATCTTCAATTATGGAATCATACTTTGGTTTGTTATTAAAACACTACTTATTATATTTTAAATCTTCGCTAAAGAGGTTTGCGAAAAATCTTTTCTTGATTTTACTCACCAATTCGGTGCTTGCTTGCATTCTAGGATTTAAATTTAGCTACGTAAAAAGAAGGAGTGGGAAAAGGAAGTGAAAGAAACAAACTTTTGAACTTTAACGATACGGAAGCCGTTAATGTGCAGATTACCTAGATACTCTGCAAATTACCTAGGTAATTTGAGAAATTGAACAATTTTCGCAGCTTTAACGGATCACCCTAGTTAATCTGCAGCTTAGCTAGGTAATGTACACATTAACGGATTTCGAGCTTTAGCGGTAACACATATACTGTAATTTACTATGTGGAGAACACTCATTTTATCTGCAAAATAGACTGTTACGAATTGTGCAACAAATGAACTTGCCAAAACAGACTATAAAAAATTTATTTTTCTATATAATATTCTTAATCGCAAAAAAGCCAAATCTGGCAATTTTGCTCAGGACTAACTGAAGCGCCACTTGTAATCGTCCAATCCGCCATGTTTGGCGCATGCACCACGTTTTGGCCACCCCTGTTCTAAAGTATATTTTTTTCTGGTTTTTATATTTTCCATTATATTTATTTTGTTTGTACAAAATAAAGAAATAATTTTTAAAGATACAATAGCGACGATTATTATTATAAAAAGTTTACGTTAAGCTTAACATCGACGAAAATTCAACGCGAAACGCCACGCAACTGAGAAAAATTTTAACATGGGATAGGTTAATATATTTTTTCGTGCATAATCGGTTATCCGGAAAACAAGTTATCCGAACAACCCCAGTCTCCAATTGATTCGGATAAACGACGCTCTACTTAAAAGCCAATATCCAAAGTTAACTCCAGCATGGATTTTAAGGGTCTATTAAAAAAGCCTTGACTCATGACTTTTCTGAAAATGTATCAATCAGCATTTAAAATTTTTTATCTATGATCTGTGCAAATTTCATGAATTATTTTTGCCGCAAAAATTTTTTTATGGCGATTTATTAATTAGGTAATTAATCGCGCTATTGTTTTTATGGGAGTTTTTTAATCAAATTAATTAAATCCTTCTAAACTTCTATTTCACAGATTTGACTTCTGTAAATTTTTTTAAAGGGCTATTGGATGTTTTTTCTGACATCAGCAGGTTTTTTTTCTATTTTGTTCAGTAGAATTTTTCCCCATACCTTTTTTTCGGTCCCCTCGTAGTTTATTAGCCAGTCGGCTGTTCATCGCGATAATCTGAAACAACACCACTGTTGCGTGACATTTTCTGGTTTTTATAGTAATTTTTAAATTTGCAATATTTCACTTAAAAATTGTTGTAGATCTGATCTGTTTTTTGCCTTTTATCATTCACATATCGCACTTTACGATTGTTAACTTCAAAATATTAAAAATGTTCAAAAAAATTTTTTTTAATTTATAAAATTCGAGAATTAAAAAAATTAAAAAAAAAGAAATTTTTTTAATAAACATCTGATTAATCTGTTATATATGTTAGATAGATAGGTCTATATACACACATATAAAAAAAAACTGCAGCTTTCTAAACCGATGTAGAGAAATAATACGACCTATAGATTATAACGCCGATCGGTGTGTGAGGGGGGTGGTGGTTATTCTAAATTTAGGTCAATACACTTTTTAGTATTGATGATGTATATTTGATTCTATTTATGTTATTTTCACTATTGTACTAACAGTGGTATATATAAAGCGATTATTACTTTAATTTATTAACGATTATACGTGTATTTTTTACGTATTACGAAAGTTACGTGATAACCGGAAGTACTTTGTTTTTTAAAAGATTTATAATTAGATGGTTTAAAAAACATGCTTATTTGTTAAATAGGATAAATATTTATAAAAATTTACTAAACTGAAGCTAAAATTAGACGAGAATAATGATTTATAATTGTTTGTTTACGTTTGTAGCTAACAATGTAGCTCCGATAAAAATAACTTTTTCCCACAAAGTTCCCACCCCACAAACCCAAGTAAACGCTTATTCGTTAAAAGATAGTCATTTAACTATAATATACCAATTAGAGGTCAACAAACATGCAAACAAGAATTTTATTGTCCAATGAACGAAAGAAGGGTCTCCCATAGACTTAACATGGAAAGGAGGAGTTTTGTGGGTAAATTTAAAAATTAGGAGTGGTAACAAATATCTTATTCGTTGAAACAGACTTAGTCTATGTAGATATATGCCAATCAGTGCTTAAATCGCCACCAACTAATTAATTACGAAAAAAAATTGACACTTACTCCAATTGGAGTACTGCACAAAAATTTAACTAAAACCGGTTACTCCAATTGGAGTACCGCGCAACCGACTGGCTTTAGCATTAAAATCAACAATATTGTATTATATTTGAACAGATGCGGTAAGTTATCTCCCCTGCTGCTTTAGACGAATATTCCCCTGAAGGGTACATGAGGACTACCCGGGAAAGTGCACCTCAGCCTTTCTCAAGGTCAACCAGTTTGTAGACTGTAAGTGTGAAATTTCACGCCTTGTTAAACGAAAGAATAATAATCCTTACAGCTATATTTCTCAAATAAAAGTATTTATTTTAAATTACTTTTATTTTTTTATATACTTTTTCTGTAAAAACACTTTTTGGGGGTTTTTGTTTCTCGGGAATTACTTCCCGGAAATTTTTTTTGATGTTAGATTCGCGTTTAAGCGGAAATAATTATTTCATACAAAAAACAAATTTTTGTGGATGTCTTAATTGCATTTGAATCCGAACATGGGTAGCAAAAGAGTTAAGTTTCCCGGATAGAAATAATGCCAATTTCACATATTAAAACCAAGAAAAAATCGAAAATAGCAGACGAAGCGAAAAAACAGCAATCCGAACAGATATACCGTACAAGCAGCAGCTGATGAAACAACAAAAACAATCAACAGCAGTTTCGGCACTCCCAAGAAAACAGTCTTTGTTTACTTAAAGATATTCCGTAAAATCAAAAGTTACAGGCATCAGCAAGGGTAGGTCTAACAAGAGACAAAAGACAAATGACACAGAATACCACTATTGTGGAGGGTTATACTCTGCAACTACAGAGAGTTGGGCTAAATGTAGCCGTTGTGATAAATGGACACACTGTTCTTGTTCCAATATTGAAGAAAAACGACAGTTTAACCATTTTAATTTGTTCTTCTTATATATAAAAATAGTAATCCCCATCTTACTCATTGGTGAGGCAAGATGGTGCATTTACATGTAATTTTAAAATATTAAATTATCTTGTTTTTAAAACGTAAATATATTATCAAATGTAGTTGCCGAGAATAAAAAATTGTCATTTTCATGAAAGTGGTTACCGTCTTATGACTTTTAGTTACAGTTTCTTAGTCCTCATCTTGCCTCACCTTCCCCTATAATAAAAACATGAATAAACAGGTAAAATGACAAAACCGTGTTTGAGACTAGACTATGTCTTGGAGACTCACTGCTAAGCAGAATCACTTTCACGCTAAAAAGGATCTCGTTCTCATTCTCTAATCTTCTTTGGTATCGCTGCTTTTGGGAGCGATCGTTGAAACTTCGCCTGCCACGACCACGAGGTCGTCCACTATGCATCTTCGATGAAATTAACCTATTCAATTTCCGAATTTCTCTCTGTTGCGAGTCGGCCCGGGTTGAATTTTTGTATATGCGTAACGAAAATTACCTGTTTTTGAAAAAATAATAATAATCGTGGCTATTATATCGTCTGAAATTATTGTTTTTATTTTGCACAAACAATATACAGTTTAATACGATTATAAGGTCGGATGTAACGACAATCCTAATATAACGTCAAATTTTTATCGGTCCCATGATTTTACTATACTAGATAATATTTTTAAAAAAAACCCAGTTGTAACGACATAAAACCGTTTTAACGTCATATTTGATACACTCCTAAACTTACAAAATCAGATTACAAATTTTATTTAACATAGAAGAAACTACGTGTTCGGTCCTAAGGTCAAAGTTCACTTGTTAGAATGATTGTATGTGGTACTCTCCCCTACCTGATTTCGGTGGGGTGAGGTGGCTGTTTTGCCTGTTTGTAGAAGAGGGTCGCCATTTTGTATTTTATTTTGACTACCAACGAGTCTGAATTTTTTCATGTGCAAATGATTTGGACCCCTAATACTCTGTGCCAAATATCAACTCTCGACATGTACTTCTTCATACCTCTATGCTGGTAAGAAAATCCAGCAGTAGGACTTTATAAACAAAACATAGTCTTGTGAAAAAGCTAAATATTAATACAGTATTATTTATTCTATTTAGAGTATTCTTAATTTATAAATAAAGAATACATTTTCCAAGAAAAACTAAATAGCACTTTCAATAACTATTTGTTATTAATTAATGCTCAAAACGAGCTAGTAAATGATNAGTATTATTTATTCTATTTAGAGTATTCTTAATTTATAAATAAAGAATACATTTTCCAAGAAAAACTAAATAGCACTTTCAATAACTATTTGTTATTAATTAATGCTCAAAACGAGCTAGTAAATGATGATCAACATACACAAGCACTTAACAATACGAAACTGGAAAGAATATGGCTCTGCCAATCAAAAACGGTCTGTCATGGCGACACTGTATATAGGACTATCCAGCCACTGTAGTATACTGTATACATATACTGTAATGTACTGTACAGTACATTAATTTTCCTCTCTCGCATATAATGACAACTCGTAAGACGAAAATATCATGTGAGGAGTGGCACGATTATATTCATTTCATATTTCCATTGAATATTCTTTTTTACATGTTTTAAATATTATATATAGTTATTTAATTAATGTAAATATATAAAACGTACACCGATAAAAATTATAATTTGCAGCACAGATATGAAAGTGTTTGGAATCGTTAAATCAGCGATGAAACAGGTAGTAATAAATAAATATATTAGAAATACTCACTTAGAACAGCCATTCGAAATTCTTCTAACTCTTTCTCGTTCCAAGTGTATTCCTTCGCTTCCATTCCCACGTTTTTAACATCAAAATTTAATTGTTAGTCCTGTATATATTTACTGATTATGCTAATAATTCTTCTATTAAAGAGTTGTCTAATATATTTATTGGTTAAGGATTCTATATTATACGATGTTAAAGAGAATAATCTCGCTTCACGAATTAACAGCATATGCTGTAATAATAATTTACGCCAGTAAGTTTTTAATCTAACCTAGTTATTTAAATCTTAGACTTTGTACCGATAAACATCTAATGAATAAACTTTATGATTTCAATATAAAAACTGATAGTCAACATGATAGTAGCCGCAATTCAATATAGATATTTATTATCTACATATATATACAATGGAAATTTTGTCAGTTTGTTTTCTACGATCTGCTAAACTCTAACCTGCAGGAAAAATGTTCATGTGTATGCTGTGGGACCCTGCTGACAAGATAGGTTATTACGAACTTCTGTTTCTACCCTTCACTAATTTTTATCTTCACTTATTATTTCTTAAAACCTTTCACTTATATTTACGAAGATTTTTATTCTTATTAATCTGTTTTGATGTGATCATAAATTAGATGCATATCACGTGTTTACTGTGTTAAGTAAAACTTTTTTTCAATGTTAGAATACTTCGTGTGTCGAATTTTTTACAAATAATTGGTAACATTTACAGTTAATTTACATTGCGTAGTCTTATATAAAAGGTTAATGTTTACCTGAATTAATATGTCTTTTTGTTTCTTCGTAGAAAGAGTTTTATTAATTCAATTTTAAAAACAATATTTAATTATAATTTTTGGTTGGCATCCTTCGTATAATACTGTAATTACGTTCGAAAAACTGTCGTGATATCCGAATCAATACAAAACAAATGACTAATGCAAAACATTTCAGAAGTTACGTTCTAGAACTTAACAAAAGTATACAATTATCGTTTATTACTAAGAGAAATATGTTTATTAATGCAGTCGATAATTTATTTTTAATCCATAATTATCTAACAAGCACAGTTAAAAGTACTGTTAATGTTAATTTTACTTAAACCAAGACGTTTTCTTTTTACAAAGTATCGTTTTCTTCTCAACTTTATTGTTGAACTTGATTAGAGGTGTTATTTTCATACATTTTATTTTTATCATAAACAATTTATATACATAAAGAAATAAAAATACATTATTAATAGTCTAAACTTTCGTACTTTTCCAGGATGTGTTCGTATACCGAGTTGTTCGACTACCGAGATACCGCCGTCTTTCGTTCGTTATTTTACAAATGGTTGCTTACCTACAGTTAAAACAGTTTAATAACACTTACCTAAACATGTTTAAAGAAACTTTACCAATTACGAAGATTAGTGTACACAAAAAAAAACACAGTGACAGTCATATTTGCTAATGTCTGAAAACGACGAAGACACCTGATTGATAGGAAAGTTAAGGCAAGTAAGAAAATAAATTGCCCTATTAATTTTCAATAAGGATTACGCTGAATTCAATGGTGATTAATACGATAAACGTAGCTGTGAAAGAAGTGCATTTTTATTGCACAGTACGTACAGTAAATACATACAAAATAAAATAATTCGAAAATCTGTTGAAATTCGAAATTACACATCCGATAAATGTTGGTATACAAAGAATTCACTCTATTTATATAGGCTAAGCTATATGCATCTTAAGTTATTAGAACAGTTAATATTAAACTATTATTATTGGGAAGAAATTTTAAAAAATAGTAGACCTATAAATTTCTACTGTTGTTGGGTTGTCTGTCGGTCTCTCTTTCTTCAATCTCCTGAAATTTGTTAGACAAACGAAAGGCGAGAAAATATATAAAAGGTCCAGACTAACTATACGGAAAAGTCTGCAACACATCGACAGTCACATCATTTCAATTCAAAAATAATTTTCTTTTTAAAAAGAGTTAAATAGGTGACTGGCACCACTCTACTGTTAAAGAAAAATCATGGTGTACAATTGTATTACTTCAAATATAAAATTTTATCATTTCAATGTTTAAATATTATTTTCTTCAGTCCAATATTTTTCGTTTTCTACAAAAAATTCTTCCAAGTCTCTCAACTTCTGATTAGTTTCAGACTCATCAAAAGGAGGCAATTCGCCATCAAATTCTGCAGGAAGGTATTTTGGATCGATCTCTTTGTGGAGGTTTTCCATATTGGATCCGTGGAAATGAAGCTGAAATAAATTTACAGTTTAAAATTATTCATATATGTGACTTTTTTACAATTAATGTGATAATGTAACAATGTAATCTAAATTGCTGGCCATTAAATTTTCTACACCAGGAAAGAGAGCTCAATTAACCTGAAGATGGCCTATTGAATAAGCTGAAAACGTTAGTTACGTTTAAATAAACTTTTTTTAACAACTTAAAGTGAAGTAGTGTAGTTTATTATTTGCTGAGTTTGTTTCGTTTTATGAAGTATAATGCTCCAATAATGTCTTTTGTGATATTCAAATTATTCATTTACTTTCTTGTATGATTATGTAATATAAAATGATGATGCACCTGATTTTTCAACATAATATTTATTGTAAATATATAAATAATAAGCGGAAATGAATATTCAATGCTCCAAGTTTATAAACTTAATACTTAATTATGTAGGTATTGTTTCTTTCAGTGTATTCTAAAAAAATATATTATCGTGGTACATTATGTGATATTTCAGGTGTATTTTATATGAGAACATTTATTTATATTTTTCACAGAAACATGAAATTTTACTTTGAGAATTACTTACCCTTTGCTTTAATTTATAAGGAAAAAATGGATACGCCATTGAAACAATGGCACGAAGGTACTTGTTAACATTAACGATGTGAATCCCTTTATGAAGAGCGGGGGCACATTGCTAAAAAAATCGAAGAGCATACAGTCATTGTTAGCTTTTAAAATTTTAAAATATCTGAAAACGGTTTAGGTTTATATAATCTATTTTTAATTTTGTTATTATAACTAATTGGAGCATTTACGGCAATACTCACATAAAAACATGCTATTATCAAGTAAAGTATTCTTGGACTAAATTGGATAGCATGTCTCCACGATACTGCTTTGGCGTCTATCAATATATAAACACCATTTACTTGTATTGGATGGTCATTTAGTTCCATGTCCATAAGAAGTAATACGCATCTAACTACATCTATTGGTTTCACTTTAGTTGCATCCCAATGGCCTATGAATAAATAGGTTTGGTGTTGTGCAACAAACTTTAATACTAATAAAAATAAAGAAACCGTAAAAGATGAACACTTACTGACTCTACCGAGTCCCAACACTTGACCGGTTTCTATTCGTTTGGAACACATAATTCCCATTTGTAAAAATGTTTCCAATGCTGAAGGCCTTAGGTCTTTGAATACATCTGAATAATTTTTCCTTATTGCATAATAATTCTTGAGTAGTTTCAATGCTCGTTCTCTGTCGTATTTTCTTGCTCGTAGAAAACTCAGGAGAAATATGTCATCAGTTCTGCTTTTCAGATCTTTTTCTTCTTTTAAAATAAAGAAAATATCATTACAGTTTAGAAGCTCAGCAGAGATAAAGTAAAAATTTACGGCCACACCTATTCATTTTCTGGGAGAATATTCTATTAACTGACGTTCTCATTTTACTCTTACAGGCTATTACCAGGTTTCTTAATCCCATTTTCTTAAAAAACATTTTACTAATACATAAACTTAGCCAATGTTTGGGGGCGCCATAATACTGAGTGCTAGTGTTATTCATAAACAAAGAAAAGACAGATAGCTATTTTTTTTCAATTTTTACTTCTAGCATAATTCTATATTATGTAATATTGTTTGATTATTATCATAGAGCGCGGTAGTTTCACGAAAGCACGTGTAACAAACAACGAGTGACTTAGTACACACGTACTGTACGTCAATCTCTCTCTGTCGCATACATCTATAACTCAAAAACGATAGTTTCATGTGCCGTGTGGAGTGTCGGATTATTAAACCTGTCAAATTGGCGAGTGACGGTCCATTGAGACTCTACTGTATTTAAATTCCTCACACAAGCAAAAATTCGACTTTGGCAAGATGTCGGTTGTCTTGAAGGATTAAATTAACCGTCACTTACCTGTATTTAATATTTTATTACTACTCCGTATAATTTTAAAATAACATCATATTCTCGATTGTTTTTATATTTTCACAATATTATCTAATTGTTTAATTAATTTATATACAGCAGTACAGTAATACCCCAAACTTACGCGATAGGTGGGATCGAGCGTTAATCGTGTAAGTTGGAACCGCGTAAGTCGGGGAATAATTTCGTACATACAAATAATTTTTAATTGGGACCGGAGACTAGAAAACAATAAATTAGAAAAAAAAATGTTTAATAAAATCACAGATAATACATATGTATAACAAATTAGGCCTATATTATTTTACAATTTTTCACATTTACTCGATTATTACGCCATAATTTTAACATTGTTTCCATCTCAGCGATAATACTGTGACGTTTACGAATGATGCTTGAATTTAAAAATTGAGCATTTTTCACAGCTTTGAGAATTTTTTCTTTGCCTTTTATAATCGTTCTGATCGACAATTCCGGTAGTTCAAACTTCTTTGCCAATTCACAAATTTTAATTTTTTTTATCGAAGTCTTTAATAATGGGTACGTTCGTAAAGCCGAACCAGTTAAACGCGTTAGTAACGAATCGTTCGAAAAGTCTAACGAAGTAGGAATAACGATGACTTCATTCTCGCTTAATTCGTTCGACTTTACGAACATACCCAATGTTAACTTTACATTTCAAAGATAAAGTTTTTCTTTTCTTGTTTGATGTAGAAGAATTAGTTCTACTTCGTTTGGATGACATAGTAGAGTCTCTCGAGTCTCCATAGATATAACAAACACAGATATAAATAACACAAAATAAATTGTAGCTATGTGTCGATTCCGCGCGACACATCCGAACATGTAAGCTGAACAATAGTGTGGGGGGAGTGAGTAATCAAGGGTTGCGTGGCGCTCAAACAAAAGACGAATCGACGAGATTTGAAAATCGCGTAACTCCGGGTACGCGTAAGTCGGGGTATTACTGTATATATATATATAACTTATAAACGTATACTTATAAGAATTAAGTTATAATTATCACCAGAGATATGTGAGTATTGCGAAACGTCCTGCTTGTTAAGTCAGCGATAAAGCTGATGGTAATAAATAAATTAATATATTAAAAATACTCACTTAGAACAGCCATCCGAAATTCTTCTAACTCTTTCTCGTTCCAAGTGTATTCCTTCGCTTCCATTCCTATAATAACGTTATTAACATCACAATTTAATTGTTAACGCTGTATATATTTTCTGATTAAGCAAAATTATTGTTTTATCAAAAACTTGTCTAATAAATTTATTCTATAAAAAATTCTATATTATACGATATTTAGGAAAATCAACTCACTTCACCAGTTAACTTAATATACTGCAGTTTAGGCGCAGTACATTTCTAATCTCATCTAGTTATTTAAAATCTTAGACTTTGTACCGATAAACATCTAATCAATAAACTTTATGATTTCTACATAAAAGCTTATAATCAACCTATCAGTTGCTGCAAATTAATGTAGATTTTATTGATTATCTGCATACATGTTGATTTTCTACAAACTGCTAAACTCTGATCTGTATCAAACTTGTCATGCTTACTCTGTGGGACAAGACAGGCTATTATGAACCTCTGTTCCTACACTCTAATGATATTTCTCACTTATTAACTCCTAAACTTTCTCTTATCTACACCAAGAATTTTTATTTATTAATAATTTCTGATGTAACCTTTATATTTGAGTGATCATAAATTGAATGCATATTATGTGCCTACTGTGTTGAGTAATTCTTTTGTTTTCAATGTGAGAATATTTTGTAAGTCGATTTTTCAGGTGGTAGTCCATCCAGATACGACGGGCACAGTCTTTCACCACCCGAACTCCCCATTATGGACCTAACCGAATTCATAATCTGGTTCGGTTAGGTTCAATGGGGAGGTCGGGTGGTGAAAGACTGTGCCCGCCACACAATCGGCTTGCAAATAGATGACATATTGGTGACAAAGGGTAGAAAGAGCTAAAAAAATACTATACTTACATTTTTTAAATGTATATAAAACAGGGATGTCCAACCTTTTTGTTTCTCTGGGCCGCATTGGAAGAAGTCAAGAAGTTTTGGGCCACGAGTACATATAATAAATACTTGTGGCCCAATATACAAGTATATTTTAGGATTAGCATGTCTAGATTATAATAATAAGTATTAAAACTTTATCAAGAAAAAGGATATTTTAAAAATTACTTCTACAGACACTTTCAATTTTCACTTAGAAATAGATAAATTCATTTATTATAAAAGAGACAAACGGAAATTTATTTGAAAAACACAAATATTTGTTATATTTGGGTCTCTAATTAATAAAAAGCGACGAAACACCATTTTAAAGTGCATTTTTATTCAACTAATATAATTATAAATAATATGTAGCCCAAAAAGTAGCCAAAGCGCCAAATGATATTTTTTACGTCAAACAAAAAAAGTAGCCACATTTGGGGCAATGTAGCCAAATCTTGCAACGTTGGAAAAAATACTAAATAAAGCTGAATCGAAGGATTATAGACCCAAGTGCAGGGAAAGGAGAGAAAGGACAAAAGATAAAAAAGTGAGAAAGGGTGGAAAATTAAGGGTCAACAGAAGATCTATTTAACCTACAGAAGATCTATTTATCTACATCTTTTGTTTTTTCTCATCTTTCTCTCCTTTTCCCAAATTTGGATCTATAATCCTTTGAGTCACAACTCCAGCTTTAGTTAGTAATCCTTCCTCATTCACACATTTCTAAGTATTTGAAAATATTTCCTTTCCACTCAAAAATAAAATATGAATAGAGATTTACGGCTTTGTGAAACTTTTTTTTTTGAGTTTATGCCGTTGAAATAGATAAATAATAAAAAAAATTAAAACATTTTGTCGGTTTTGTTTACACGTTTATTGGGCCGCATTGGAACTTGCCTTGGGCCGCATGCGGCCCGCGGGCCACGGGTTGGACACCCCTGATATAAAACGTTAAAGTTAACCTGAATTAATGTGTTTTTTGTTTTTTTATAAATTAAGTTTGATTAATTGAATTAATAATATTTTAATAATTATGACTATATATAATTATAACAAGACACATTTGAGTTTTGTCTTAAGAACAGTGTATCTGTGTTATTAATTAACACGTCTATCAAGCATATCTAATCTCATTATATTTCAATGAACTGTGACAGTGATAATAACTATAAATTTATACAAAATATATTACTAAACAATTCAAATATTCTGTATTAAATAATATGTGTTTCCTCAGTCACTTACTTCATATTATTATTTTAACACAAAGCATTCAGTTCAATCGTAATCTCGAATCTGGTGCATTACAACAAACAGAACATTTTCTCATTTCAATTTTCAGACATTTTTCTCTTCAGTCCAATATTTTTCATTTTCAACAAAGAATTCTTCCATGTCTCTTAACCATTGATTACTTTCAGATGCATCAAAAGGTGGCAATTCACCACCAAATTCTGCAGGAAGATATTTTAGATCGAATTCTTTGTGAAAGTTTTCATTATTGAATCCGTAGAAATGAAGCTGAAATAAAATTACAGTTAAAAGTTATACATGTACAGTAGATCCCCCTATAAAACCGTTTCCTATAGTTATGATTCCTATAAAAATTGTGGCAGTATCCGTAAACAACGGTAAAAATAACTCCTATAATACGTAAAACGTCATCGGGCAGCCGAACTACTTTCCCGCCGTCCGTAGCGCCACGCTACGGACGTTTAGGCGGATAAATTGAGTTTAGTATCGTCTGTTCATATAATTATATATAAATTAGGTACTGTACATATAATTATATATTAATTATATATAAATTAGGTACTGTATATATAATTATATATTAACTTAATTTATTGTAACTTTATTATAATTAAATATATATTTTTCGCCGTCTAGCGTCACGCTACGGCGAGTTAGGCGACCTATCGTCTGTCCAGTACTGTAATTTTATACATTTCTTGTGAAAGAAACATTTCTTATTTAACGGCCATAAAAATTATTTATATTAAGGATGTCTCCAAAGGTCAACGAAGTTTTCGCAGAAAAATAATATCAGAAATCGCGGCCGCGGTTTGATGCGCTGTTCCGCGACGAAACCAAGCTTTAGCAACGGGCGTAGTCGAACGGTACACACTCGGTAAGCAATCCTACAATTTTTTGTTTATAACGTAGTTTATACGGATTATTTTCAAAAAAATATACGTATTTTGGAAATGTTGAGTCGAATTAGTCTAGAATCGATTAATTTTATGAAAGAAAACCTTTCAAACAGCCGTAGTCCGTAAACTATGATTCCTACAAAATTGATTCATAAAGAACGGAACGTATCTACCGTCTTATAGGGGGATCTACTGTATATCGTTTTCCTGAAATTAATGTGATAATAAATTAACGTAGGCACTGTACATATTTTTAGGACTAGCTGTTACGACCAGGTTTATAACGTACTTTTCGCAGTTAAGCCCAGCGTAAATTTCAAAAACGTACTCGTATGTAGTAAAATTCACTTTAAATTAATTATTCGAATGCCCATAAAATATGTAAAAGTATGTCTTGGTAAATAGCAAGTTTATAAAAAGAAATGATTACAATTAGTTTGGTTTATTTGATTACGACAATCTAACACGTGTGTAATATTCCGACGTGGAACTCCCAATAGGAGTTTTATAAAAATAAAAAAAAATAAAAAAACTAGTCCCTATTTTGGTATTACTAACTTCAAGATAACTCGGAAATAAAGGTGGCTAGTCCATTGACAAATATTGGTATTTAGCACAATTTGAACGTTTATCAATAAACAACAGCAAACAAACATATCTAATCCCATTACAACACAATGAACTCAGACAGGGTATATAACTTTTTATTTTTTCTTATATAACTTAATTTAATATGATTTTCTAACACTACAATGTTTTATCCTAAGAATCTAATTATATAAGCCTAAATCAATTGTATTGAAAAATTATATTTAAATACACCTAAATGGAGGCCAGAAATTCTTTATGGAGGCATTCACCCCTAGGCAAATCGCCCACTTTGTGTTATCCAATCAACCTACAATCCTGTGTTGATTGATTTTAGAAAGTGCACAAACAAAACGCAAGTGTAAGCAGCACGTGTATGTACCGTACGTTATATGTAAGTTAATGATTCTGCTGCGTATAATTTATCGAATTTCTCGAAATTATTCATAAATCTAGAATTTTTGATAATCTGGCACAACGCTGTGTCGTAGGTCCTGGAATATCGAACCTGTATGTATTTATAATCATCCTTTTTATTCCTTAACATTACCATACAAATAATTACTTTTAAATATTATTTATCCGTACACCGAATACTTCTTTCACAAAATCGCTGGTTCCAATTATAAAATTACAATTAAAATTTGCAACATATTTGTTTTCATTTTCACAAGAAGTTAACAGAGGAAAACACAGGGCTTTTTAATCCATTCAAGAAAGATGAGGAAGTCCTTTACGTTCACTGTTAAGAATTCGTTGTTTGTTTATTGTTAATTGCCTGTTTGCTCTCGATGATAATTTTAGAATTTCCGATCGAAAGGGTCAAACGTATCAAAATATTAAACCAGAATTTTCGTATAATCTCTATTATTATCAAACAGTTAATGTTACGACAGGATAAATATGTCTACTTCACGACATTAACAGAAACAACTTACTCAGAATATTTACTGATATACTGTTTTAATATATATAAATAACTAAATTCAATAACAATACAGTAATGAAAGTATGTGTATATACAGGATTGGTGGAAAGTAACTAGCTATTGAAAAATTTACTACAATATCTAAATTTCTAAAGCAAAGGTAATTTATTTGACTCGTAACTTATTAAATACAAATACGGAAGAATACCTTATAATTTAATTCGGTATGTTTCAAAGATATGTTTTTCTCAGATATTGATGTGAATAAACGGCCATTTATCGGCTTCCGCAACCAAACCTGTGGTAATTTAGGCTAGGACTCCACTACCGTAAAAACGGCGTAAAAACCCCTCGCCGTAAAAGCTTTTAATCACGTGACTCTGATATCTTACACTTGAGCAGGCCGTAAAACCAGCGTAAGTGAGTTGAGCTATGTTCAACTTTCGACGCGAATACGGCCGTAAAGAGGTACCTTCCACCAATCAGAAGTTAGCGAAATCTAGGTCATCGCGACACGGAGCTAAAATGGCGGAAAACGAGCTTTTGTGTATGTTCCCTCGTAACTACTCTAGAATAGATCCAAAAAGATTTATCGAAAACATCCGAAAGTATTCGTGTATCTATGACAAGAGGTAACCTGATTATAATAACGGATACCAAAGGAAATCCTTCAATTTAGAGGAGTATATAATA